CCCTCCCCTCAGCAGAGCCTGGCACCGCATCAGGAGGAATGGTGCTCTCTAGTCACAGGCCTGGCGGATTAAGTAAAACCTTGGCAGCCCCATCTTTCGTCTCCTCGCCCTGGACCTCACGTGGTCCCGGGTGCTGTCTGCCAGGCTTGGCCGAGGCTCCTGGCTTCTCAGGTGGCCTGGTCCTCGCCCGGCCGGACTGTCCCATAACGTCCAGTGATGAGAGCAGCAGCGATCGAAGCAGAATGGGAAGTGGCTTGCCCTTTGGAGAGCAGGGAGCCTGAGTCACGCGGAGACTGCGCCGGGGACACGGGAAGGCCGAGCTGGGGACACGGGAAGGCCGCCCGAGGCCTGGCAAGGAGAGGCTGAGTCTCAATTAAAATAGCAGCCCAGTTGCGGGGAGCGGGCACAGGTGAACCGACCAGGGACCCCGCTGTCTCCCCGATGCCTCACCTTCAGCCCACCCCTGGTCCTCACCAGAGCTCACTGTGGTTCCCTCACTTGCGAGGGGGTCCCTTAAACATGCACAAAGTTGCCCTGGCCAGTGTGGCTCAGTGGATAGAGCATCTGCCCCTGGACTGGAGGGTCCTGGGTTCGGTTCTGGTCAGGGGATAATGCTTCTTTTAAAAAAAACATGTTTTCATTGATTTCAGAGAGGAAGGGAGAGGGAGAGGCAGAGAGACATCAGTGATGAGCGAGAATCATGGATCAGTTGCCTCCTGCTTGCCCCACACTGGGATCGAGCCCGCAACCCGGGCCTGTGCCCTGATGGGGAATCGAACGGAGACCCTTGGGTGGGCGGCCGACGCTTTAGCCACGGAGCCACGTCAGCCAGGGCACCTTGTGATATCTTAAATGGAAAATGCATTCTTTTGTTTACCCGGCTCCTTAGCAGCTAATTCGAACCCACGTCACTGCTGCTGATGGGAAATAACTCAAAGGCGTTTAGAAATAAAGGATCCCAGGTAGCTCCGGGTGTGAATAAACCTCTTCCCAAGATGAGCACCGCCGGGCTCCCAGGTGCTCCGGTCGCGGAAACCCCACGGCGGCGGGAGCTTCTCCAGGCCTCGGGCGAGTCCCTCCTGCTCTGGACGCAGCCTCTCCCGCACTCAGTCCCTCAGCGGCGGCGGGAACACGGCCGGCCGCTGTGCTGACCTGTGCGGGCGTGACAGGGGTCACCGTGCAGCCGTCTAAACTCCCCCGCTTACCCCTCAAAACGGTTTCTTTAAAAAACAAACAAACTCTAAAACAACAACAAAACAAACAAACCCAAAGGTTTTGCGGGGCAGGTGTGGCTCAGTTGGTTGGGCTCCTGAAAAGCTTGCTGGTTCCACTCCCATCAGGACACGTGCGTGCGTGTCTGTGTGTGTGTCTGTCTGTGTGTGTGTCTGTGTGTCTGTATGTGTGTGGGTGCGTGTGTCTGTGTCTCTGTGTCTGTGTGTGTGTGTATGTGTCTCTGTGTCTGTGTGTGTGTGCGGGGTGGGGGGGCTCCATCCCAGGGCGGCAGGGGGCCTGCAGGAGGCAGGTGGGTGGCAGGCTCTCGGAAGTTTCTCTAAAAATCAATTACAACAAAACAAACTAAAAACAAACCAAAGGTCCTGGCCGAGCAGGTGGCAGAGGGAGGCGCCAGGGCGGGTCCCTGACCTGCGGGAGGCCGAGCTGAAGGGGGGTCCGAGCGCTCACACCCCGACCCGAAGCGCCGGTTCCGGGACCACATGTCCTTCCCGAGCCCCAGCCCCCGCTCGTCGCTCGGATTTCAGTCGATGACGGGAGGCCGGTGGCTGCTGCGCTCACACCC